AGCATGTGATCTGAGAGGGTTTTTTTTGTTTTTGTTTTTGTTTTTTTTTTTTGAGACAGGGTCTCTCTTACTACCCAGACTGGAGGGCAGTTGTGTCATCATGTTTCACTGCAATCTCTCCATCTCCCAGGCTCCAGCGATCCTCCCACCTGAGACTCCTGAGTAGCTGAGACCACAGGCATATGCCACCATACCATTCTTTTTTTTTTTTTTTTTTTGGTAGAGACAGGGTCTTTCTATGTTGCCCAGGCTGGTCTCGAACTTCTGGGCTTAAGCTGTCTGCCCATCTCAGCTTCCTAAAGTGCCATGCTTACAGGTGTGAGCCATTACACACGGCCCAATATGATAAGTTTTAACAGGGTAGGCATGGGTCAGATCAGTGGTAGATATGGATCAGATAAGGGCTCAACAAGGTATGGCACCTGGGCAAAATCCCACTTGCCCCCTATTTTTGTTGAACTAAGGAGGGATCACCCACATGAACACATGCAATTGATATAATAGGGAACAGCGACTTTGAACCTAATTAAGCAAAATGTTATCCCCCCAAAATATTATATTTCTGTAATTATTAGTTGTATATTATAAAAAATTTACTTTAATACCTTAATAAGTTTAATGACAAAATTCACATTTTCATATTTTATCAAATTTTTTGGCCCAAATCTGTTATGTCTGTTTTGATGAAAGTACCTCATAATAGCTTTGACTTTGCCTCTTGGTTCATAAAGCTTGAAATATTTACTTACTGTCCCTACAGAAAGACATGTATTTACCCCTGGGTACTATCATGCTAACTGCTGTGGGAAAACACTTCTTTAATTTAATTCTGTAACTGTTTTTTAAGAATTTTAATCATCCTAAGATGTTTTTATTTCTTAAGAATATCAGGTCCAAGTTTTTTTCTAATAAATGTACTCATTGTATGCCTATGTATGATATTGTTATTAGAAACTGATAGAAAAGTCGTCCCTCAGAGAGCAATGATGTTGAAATTCTGAAGGTATTTCTAGCTGTGACTTCTTTCTTTCCTTTCTCTCTTAATTTGTCAATCCTTTCTTTAGTAGTGAGAAACTTGGCTCTCATGATCTACAATCTATTTACTTATTTACTTAATCCTAGTACATATATAAGAGTATTTCTGAATTGCTTACTCATACTTTTATGAGAAACAGATTTACAAGCTAAAGCCCAGCATGTTCCAACAATTTTTTTGTGTGTGCCTTTAGCCTTTTGACAGCCAGTCACAATTCTGTTGTCTAAAGTTACTTCAGTGAGTTATTTTCTTCCTCTTCCCCTTCAATGAGGTGATACTCATTTGTCACTTTCCTTTATTCCTATTTGTATTCTGTGTTTGGTTCCTGTCATATCCTGTTGATTTTTCTTGTATGTTTAGTTACATTTTTTTTGCTTATGTGTTTATTTGTGTGTGTTTATTTTATCATCAAGATTCTAGGAGTCAAAACAATATCATAAGGTATACTTAGAGAAATGCTTCCTCCCCATATTCCTGCTACCCTGTTCTCACTCCCACACACCCCATGGAGATAAACAATCTATCTAATTTCTTGTTTATCCAGCCTGGATTTCTTTTGCACACATGAGCAGATGAATGTATATTTTCTTATAGCCCCTTTTTTTCTACATGAAGAAGAATATACTATACATAATTTTCTGAATTTTGCTGTTTTCACCTGACAGTATATTCTGGAAATTACTTCAAGCCAGTTTGTAGAACTCTGCCTCATTCTTCTTACAGCTGCACAGTACTCCACTTTGTGGATGTGCCATTGTTTATTCAAATGCTCACCTATGTATGGACATTTAGGTTTGTTTCCAAATTTTTGCAATTATGAACAAGACTGCCATGAATAATCCAGTGTATATGTGTTTTCATATTGCTGGGAATGCACCTTCAGGGTAGATTCTCAGAAGTGGAACTGCAATGCAAAAGTTGCAGCCATGTGTAGTTTTGTTAGATTTTGCCAAATTCCTCTCTTGAGGGGTTGCACCGGTAGGCGTTCCCATCAGCAAAGTGTGGCAATTCCTGCCTCCCCATAGCCTCGACAACAAAGAATACTGACACACAGTTTAATTTTTGCCAGTCTGATAGGTGATAAATTGTAGGTCAGAATTTGTATTTTCATTTCTCAAACTATGAGTGATTGGTCCTTCATATGTTTCAGGAACATTTTTGTATCTTTGCGTGTTTGTATAATTGTTCCTGTCGTCCCTTGTGTTTTAAAAATCAGCTTTTTTTTTTCTCTTTGCACCTTAAATTTTAAGAATTCTTTATATATATAATCTATATTAGTGCTTTGATTGTACCATCTGTTGTACATATTTTCTCCCAGTTTTCAGTTGTCTTTCGACTTCAGTTTTGTTTTATTTGCTTTTTTATGTAGTTTTTTTTTTTCATTAGTAAAATGTATCCATCTTTTCCTGTATTGCTTTGGATGTGCAGTCATAATTACAAAGCCTTTCTCTGCACCGTGGTTAAAGCAGAGTTTGGTTTTGTTTTATTCTAGTGTTTGTATAGTCTCACTTTAAAATAATTGGATTCTGTTTGGAGTTCATTCTTGTAGATAGTGTAAAATATGAACCTAATTTTACTTTTTCTCAAGTGGCTACCCAGTTGCCCCAACACCGTTTATTAAAAATTTCTTCTTTACCTCAATGCTTTGAGATGTTACCTTTATTATATAATAAATTTGCATGGGTACTTGGGACTTTTTGTGGGCCATCTTTTATATACCACTGGTCTTTTAGTCTACTAATGTACCTGAACCATGCTGATTTAAATATAGTGGCTTTATGGTATGTTTCAATATCTTCTAAGGCTACTCCATCTAGAGTCCTACTCTAGAGCTACTCTCTTTCAGAAAGGAAAGAATACCTTTATTTTCTGTTATTTTTCCCCCATTATTCCTAATATTTATTTTCCCTTATGAACTTTAGTGTCAATTTGTTTGACTCTGTAAAATAACTCACAAATGAGTAACTTAGGAAAAAGTTTAGAAGGAAATAAAGAAGGGCAGAAAAAGATGAAGACTAAAGACACGGAAGCCTTCCTCCTCACGATTCTTATAACCCAGCTGGGAACATATCTCATCTGCTAGTAAAGACTCAAGATGGGACTCCTACTGCATGCCTCCCTACGCTACAGCAGGCACCAAAAATAGAGCAGTAAAATGAACACAGAGGGCGTTTCTCACCCTGAAGAGGTGGGCACAAGTCTTGGCTTTATTAAGCACAATTTGATAAATGGTCTACAGGCTTTTTTCTTTTTGCTAAATATTCCCAGGAGAGAAAATAGAGAATTGTGAAATATGTCATAAAGTTCAAAACGGATCTCCATGTGTGGAGCTTGTCAAGTCAAGCATCTCTACGTCAGTCTTGACGTCTTCCTCTTTCACTGCCAACACCTGATCAATCACTCTCGTCTGTGTATTTCATTTTCATTATATCTCTCTAGTCCACCCACCTCTTTCCAGCTCACTGTCACTCTTCTAGACCAGGACTTCAGGCCAACATCACATTTTATCTGAATTACTGTACTTATGTCCTCAGTTATCTCTCTCCCTTCCTCTTCCTGTCTCCTCTCAGCCAGAATAACCTTTACAATCCTGAGTCAGATTCTGTCTCTCACTAGCCTCACACCCTTCAGCGGCTTCTGACTGCTGTTGGGCGAATGTTCAAACTCTTTATCACGCTTTACAAGGCTCTGCATGATCTGTCTCTGCCCGCCTCCTGGCGCCACTCCCCTTGTCACTGCTGTCGCCACTCTGGCTTCACTCTGACTTTTAGGAAGTACATGCTTCTTTCTGTAGGTTATTCCAACGCCTGTAACCTCCTCTGAGTTCTACCCTTCTGCCTAGTAAACTCCTACTGATCCCTTCATCCAGATTTAAACATTCCCTCTTGGAGGAAGGCTTTTCTGTGTTCCCATCCTTCATTCAGGTTTCTTACTCCTCACATTCCCTGAACTGTGTGCCTTCTTGAGGTCACTCAGAAATAACTTGTAACATTCATGGATTGAAGGAAGAAGAAAAATAACGAAGAAAGAATAACAAGTGAACTCAAAACTGAAACTTTCCAACATTTGAGCAGTGCAATGTCATCAGTGTTTTGGATGATAGTGTTGATGGGGTATTTGCTGTGGAAAATTGAACAAAGTTTACTTACTTGCAGATAGACTCATTTAGATTTATGAATTTAAAATGTATACCTTTTTATGCCATCTTCTATAATTACTGTGGTTTGGATTACAACTTGTCGTTTGAGATTTTTATTTCAAGCACTCAAATAACAAAAGGCGACCATTTCTTACATTATCTCCAACACTGCCAGGTGTTCTTCCATCATCAAATTGTTAAAGAAAACACACAAAACATATGGTTTCCATTGCTCCCTGCATAATCTGGAGCTATAGAAATGTAGGATGCTCATACTCTCAGCAGAAAGAAGTGAGCATGAAATATTCATGAGCTTAGTGTTTGTGATTATTAAGTAAAGGCCAATTCTGGTGAGTTTGTCATTTTTTCAAAAACCTGTAGTTATTTATTAAGCAGCTGAAAATATTCTATATGATAGTTCTCATTATAATACTAACTGAGACACATTCCCCAAGAGGTACATGGAAGGTTCTTGAAAATAAAGGACAGAAAATCCTTAGGAAATACAGATGCATTCAGCAAACCAATTCCCAGCATCTTTAAGGTTTTCAAAAGGTGCCCATCATGATATTTATTTTAACTTCCAGTAGAAAAGTGGAGCATAAGGCTTTGGTATTTGGAGATACTCAGAGGTGGAGCTAAGTCTTCCTCTTCACTTACTAGTTGTTGTGATATTGGTCAAGTTACTAAACTTTGCTTAGTGTCCATTTTCTTTTTCTAATCTGCAAAGTGACAGCAGTAATTGCATGAGGCTCCTAGGTTGGTTGCCAACAGTGTTGAGGTAATGCAATGCCAAGTATTTATCTCAGTGTCTTCTACATAACACATCGTTGATATTTTGTTTTTATTGATTATGGTATGTAATATTTCTCTTGAAAGTTGGTATTAATTTTATACAAATGGAAAGCAAGTTGGTCAAGTCCTGGGTCAACAACCTGCTAAGGTCAGAATTAGTGAAAACAGTGTGTTGATTTAGATTCCAAAGAGCAGAAGTTCAGAGATGGCTCTGTTACATCTTTCATTTGAAACTTTGAGTAAGTCACTGGATCTTATATCCCTGATCTATAAAATGAGGATGATACTTGCTTTAATTGCATGAAGTTAATGAGATCTTAAAAATCAACATATTTTATGCATTGTAATAATATTTTTAAATGGCAGCTTTTTCTATTTCTTTCATCTAAAAAATATTTAGTGAGCACTTGCACTTTGATGGAGCCACTTTGATTTGACTGCAAGAAAAGAGATGTATTAAATGTCTTGTTTCAGTAAGTTCTATTCATATCTCCCTACTAGTCAGGAGAAAATAAGCATTTGGTGCTGTAAAAGCCCATAAATCTACTGCTATAAGTTGATAAATTAATTTTACAAATATGTGCAGTAACTATGGGTTCAAAAACGTGGTGAAATATTCAAAAATTGAAACATTGCTCACAATGGCAAACTGTAGGATGAATTCTAAGATATCATTAATAGTGAATAAAATAAATCAAAATGTGATATATCCATGCAAAGGAATGTTATGCAGCTCTTAAAAAGAATAAGACATACCTGCATTTGTGGCATCATTTTCATACTGCGAGGTAATGCTGCAGAGTCGTTGGGGCACAGAGTCTAGACTGCTTGGATTCAAATCACACTCCACTTCCTTCAGTGTAACTTTGTTCAAGTCACTTTCTGCATTACACCACCCTTTCCCTGTGTCTCCAACTGGCTGATACTTGTGTCTCTCCCAGAAGATGTAGGGATCATCTGAAAAGAATTTAGAAAAGTGCCAGGTTTAGACACATACTCTATGTGGGTGTGTTTGCTGCTGTTGTTATTATTATTATTGAAGTGGATATCTCAAAGATTTATTAAGTAAAAATCAAGATGCATAAATACTGTCCACATTCTACTACTCATGTATAAAAGCATATGTTAGAGGATGGAAAATATAGTTTAAATGAACAACACACATTTCTGTAAGAATCTAGAAGAAGTTCACTACATTGCTATCTTTTTGGAGGGTAAATGGAAAACTGAGTGACATGAGAGGGGAGGAGAGAGAAGTATCTCTAATTTGAAAAGAATTTTAACCTGTTTAAAATATTCAACATATTCACATATCACCTCTTTAAAACAACCAAGGAAAATAAAATAAGTAAATAATCAGTGATTGTATATTTCTAATCTTTTTTCTATCTAGGCCACATTGATGAGCCTAGTATTTGTCGTGTGTGTGTGTGTGTGTGTATGTGTGTGTGATTGTTACATGCTAGCACCTCAGTCCTCCAGGGTTCATTTTCATCAAGGTAAATCAGGGTAAAAACCTCTACGCACTTTTAGATCCTCAACAAAACCTTGAATACTTTTAGAAATTAAATACCCTGAAATGAATTGGAGCATCTCAGAGCCCAGAAAGCATGAGTCATGGAGAATGGACTCCTCCAGCAACTCACAATTTGAGGCTCCTCAGCACTCAGGACGGCTGTATGTGGGAGGCCCCAGAGATTTGCCTGAAATAGGGTCAGTTGGAGTCTGTCTCAATAAATTTACAAGCATGTTTTATTAAAAGGAGTTGCTTCTTTGAGACCGCAGTCACTATTAAACTAAGAAGAAAGTTTTGAAAAAAATTAAAACTACCCTCTTTACCCTCCTTAAATAGAACATCAATTTATGTAAATTGTTTTTTATAAGTAGCCTCAGAGTCATTTAAAGCATTTTACTTAATCCGTGTGGGCGAAGCCTCCAGGTTTCCAGCTTTTGTGCTTCTGCTGGAAGAGAGCTTCTCAGAGTTGCGTGGTTTTCAGAAGGTGCTTACAAGGTTTCCCAAGAGGAATTGTCCATAGCAAGCAATCCAGAGCCAGAGACCTCAGTCATTGCAGCAGGAGGCTTATCTGTAGGTTTCTCTGGCAGGCTTAGCTGTACTTTTATTAGCAAGACAGGCAATCTTGGGAGCCCATGTCTCAAAGCAACACAGCCCTCCCTCTACCATTTGCTGATAACATGTACCTCTTGACCATGAAGAAGAAAGACACTGCCTAGGCTCTGCTTTCAGGGGAAATACATGTGACCGGAAGAAGGAATTGAAGGTCCTTTTTTTTTTTTTAATTGTACTTTGGGCTCTAGGGTACATGTGCACATCCTGCATCCTGCAGGATTGTTACATAGGTACATACATGCCGTGATGGTTTGCTGTCTCCAACCCCCACCATGCCCCTGTCGCCTACATCAGGCATTTTTCCTGATGTTATCCCTCCCCATCCTCCCCACCTCCTGTGCTGTCCCTCCCCTTCCCTCTACCCCCACACCTAGCCCAGTGAATGTTGTTCCCTTCCCTGTGCCCAAGTGTTCTCATTGTTCATCACCCACCTATGAGTGAAAACATGCGGCATTTGGTTTTCTGTTCTTGTATCAGTTTGCTGAGAATGATAGTTTCTAGATTCATCCATGTCTCTACAAAGGACACAAACTCACTGTTTTTATGGCTGCATAGTATTCCATGGTGTACATGTGCCACATTTTCCTTGTCCAGTCTATTATTGATGGGCATTTGGGTTGGTTCCAGGTCTTTGCTATTGTAAACAGTGCCTCAACGAACATACGTGTGCATGTGTCTCTCTTTAGGGACATACAGGAGAGGCAGCAAACTCTTGTCCTTAGCAGGAATACACATGAGTCTCTTGCTGTGCCCACTAGTCCAATGACACTCCCTCGCTGTCTTTTGTTCTGGACACAGAGAGCTTGGTTGTGATCACGGCTCTGCCTCTTACTAGCTATATGGATTTCAGCACACTATTTAAGCTTTCTAGGCCACAATTTTCAAATCTGTATAGTGGGAATAAATAAATTCATTCAGCCAATATCTGAGTTGATACTCTTTGCATGATTTAGACTTTTTCAGTACAGGGAATAGTGACAGAGGTACAAAAGAGAGTCTGTTCAGGGAGCCTGTATTCTAGACTGTAATAAAATATTCGTCCTTAGGTTACTGATTGTAATGGGACCTTTCTCCTAAGGTTACTGAGGGTGATGGGCCATTCCTCTTAGGGTTACTGACAATGGTGGAGTATTCTTCCTAAAGTTATTACACATTTCTCATAAGATTATTGAAGGTGTGAAAGGACAGTGTCTACCCACAAAATTAATTCTGGAGACTTGAAGAAATGTAGGTCAAGCTGTCGGCAGGGCCGTCCCAGATTAGGCACTGAGTACGAACACTGCCCACCTCAGCCTAATTTTCAGTTTCTCAGGGAGGCCCCCAACTGGTTCAAATTCTTCTATTCTGTGCTTTCAGAAAATCCTGGTACCTCTCCTTGAGGATCTTACTACATTTGCAATTTTATATTAACTTGGGTAATTATTCAATTTATTTCTGATTCTCCCACCAGAACTTAAGTTTCATCAGGACAGGGTTGCTGGCTTTTTATTACTGTTATTTTTCTCTATTTTCTCCCAAGGGTAGTTGCCCAGTGAAGGCCTGGGAGATTTACATACTTGTATTTTTAATGAATAAATGAGCATATGGGGCAAAATATGCCCTCTCTTTCATTTCATATAGCCAGAATACATATTTCTCTTGCTTATCCCAGCCAGGATCTAAATATGCAAATATGCTGCTTTTCTGCAAGATAACTCACTGTGAGTCAATTGTAGGATGGGCACAATACAATGGAGCCCAAATTTCTCAGGTGAGCATCAGCATTTTCTCTAACCTAGAACCACTGCCTCATTTGCATTGTTAACTGTTTTATGAATATGTTCAACTCCATACCTGGCATTTGATGCCTTAATAGGCTTTCTAAGAGGTTTTGTGATGGAGAAATTGTCCTCCAAATACTCTTGGTGGCCCCCTACATGTTCTTTTATAATGTCTACCTGGCAGGTGCACTGAACGTACAATGAAGTCAGCAATAATTACCTCTGAAATCCAAAACCACATACTGTTTCGGACCTGGGAGGGATTTAGCTGAATGCCCATATTAACTTGAAGCTCAGACTGAAGAAAAAAGAACACACCTGCTTTTCACATTTTAAGAACATTTGTGAAAATCCGTGGGCACCCTCTGTGTGCCGTGGCAGGGCACAGCTCAGACTTGCTACCCCTGCCTTCTGTACTTCTTTTCTGTGGGTTATTTTGTCTTCTCTGGAATCTTCTCACATTCCATTTTCATTGTGACTCCAAACAGCATTTTCATTTTGGATGTATGGCAGTCCAAGGTTGTGTCAGAGAATAAAATCAAATTAACAGAGGGTCAAACATTCAGGACGACCAAGCCCAGGCATGAATGTGAAATCGTTAACACAAGGGCAACCTCTCAAGGGTTATGGAAACATAAGAAAGACAAATGCAGATGAGGACAGGCTAAGGGACTGGCTGACCACACCACGACTGACCTTAAGGGAAATTCTGGGCACATAGTAGGCATTTAGAGTTCTGTTTGGATGATTCTGTAGGGTGATCAACCATCCTGGTTTTCTCAAGACATGAATTCCTGTGCTAAAATTGGGAAAATCCCAAGAAAACTAGGTCAAGCTGGTCACCTGAGATTAGCATACACTGAGTTTGGGATTTTCTGACAGCCCAGACTCATCCTGTTTGCACCCTGTGATAACCATGATCTCAGGCAAGATTACATTCACTTCCCTTCTATGCTTTCCAGCCGTATGAGTTGAAAGCACATGTCCATATTGTATCTCTTGCGGACAGTGCACTTGGAGACAGAAAGGATGAGTGAGGGAAGAAAGAATCGTTGCATTTTGAAATACCCAACATATTCTTTCTCTCCTTTTATTCTCTTTTCAGGCAAAGAAATGTGATACGGACATCTAAGAGCTTTCAGAATATAATTTCAAAGGCAGGACTGATTCTCTGAAAAGTCATCAAATGTACTGTCTGACAGCAGTTCCTGCCCAGCAGATGAACAGGATACCTACAATACAGTGACGACCATGTCATCAGGGCCATGAGATGTACAGAGTTGACCAGGGAGCAACAAAAATGTAACTCAAAACAGAAAGCCATGCAGCCGAGTGCAGTGGTCGCTGGAGGATGTATATACATATTCTTGTGATTAGAAAAAAATTTCAAGTCATCGAAGACAGAAAAGGAAAACTGGGGAAACAAAGAATTGAAATCAACACATAAGGGACAAGGCTACAGTTGCTACATTTATGGTCTTAGAAGGAAAAAAAAAAAAAGGCTTTAAGGTGAGGGAAAAAAGTGGATCAGAGTTCAGAAATCCCTCCAGGGCATGAGCAAAATGAAGCGAGAGACTCCTATGTAGGAAGATAATACCATGCCCGAAGCTAGAAAAATTCTAGACTTGGTATAACAGAGTTAACATGCAGTTGAAAAAAAATTTCCTAGGGTCAGATCACACAGATGGGTGCCCCACACCACTCCAGGAATTCAAAACAAAGAGGATGTTCTGGAGGAGGCTGGACAAGGAACAAATGGCTCTGTTGCAAAAGTAAGTAAGATTTCTGTGCCGGCCACTCCAATGGCTCAGGGCACACTTCTATTTGTTTATTTTTAATTGGCCCTCAGCAGCATCACAGTAGGAACTGGAAAAGCTAAACTGGACCTGAATTCAAGACTGAAGACCCTCATCCACAAAAACCCAGCTCTGTTCCCTCAGGCTGCATTGGGCAGTAAGTTGAGGGACCACTTTAACAATGACAGACAGGCGAAATCTCACATGCTTTCTGAGGAAATAGATGTAAAAAATAAAGAGGAACAAAATATTCATAAAATGTTTGTATCTTAGCAATTGCAGATAAAAATTAAAGTGCATTTAAAATGCCACCTTAAGATGCATGTGTGTTCTGGGTCAGATGAGTGTATGCATGCAATGCACCCTGTATTATGTCATGTTTAGGCTGCTTGGTTCTACTGGAATATTCTGCCATACCCATATTTGACATTCAACAGGTATGTACTGAACACCTGTTGCATACATGGAATGATTCTAAGCCATTCATGTATGTATAGAACAGTGAATATAGGGACAAAATTTCTGCCTTCATGAAACTTATATTCTTATTAGCAAGACAGAAAAAAATATCTAATATACATCCTGTGTAAGTACTATAGAGACAATAAAGAATATAGCAGGGTAAATCAAACCATTTGTGATAGGAGCAATATTTGAGACAGGCCACTCAGGCAAAACCTCTCTGGGAGGAATTGAGCCATGACACATATACCACCATATATACCATATATAAATATTATCTAGGACAGAGGGAATAGCCAGGGCAAAAGCCCCTGTGCTTATTATATTAAAGGACTACTGGGAGGTCAAAGAAATGATAGACACTTACACCAGCATGCTATCCATGGAGTGGTTAGAAGTATTTAGTAATAAGTGAAATACATTTTGAAGGCAAAGTTGACATCACATGACTTCTTTCTTTCTAACTCAAAAACCCCACATACCAGATTTCCCTGTTCACATGGACATTTATGACAGGTTCTCTAAATTGGGTCCCCTTAGGCTTTCAACTAAAAGGAGCATGGTGCTTAAAAAAGAGAAAGTAGGGAATGAGCTCATAATGTGATACCTTTAGTATTTAATTCATTCCTGTAACCATTCTTTCACGAATTCCTTTGGAAAGCACTTGCTTGGCATCTAATACAGCTTCAGCATTTGGTGGGCCTTGGAGGAGAAAAATGAGGAAGGCACAATCCCTGCATCCAAGGACACAATCTTGCTGATGAAGACAGACAGACGAACAGATGATTACAAAACAGTATGGTAAGTGCAGCCATCATCATTTATGTGTGTGCTCCATGTGATTTGAAGATAGAGGGTCAGCTAGGGAACTCTTTCACAGGAAGTGAGACTTTGGATAACATCACATCAATTAGGAAGAGAAGATGGCCTGGCAAAGTCAGGGAGGAAACCAGAATGGGAAGGAGAGGAGTGAGGGAATTCTAACAGAAAGTTACCTGAAGAGAAGCATGAATGGGCTGTGGGGAGGGCATAGCACATACAGGGGATACTGAGTTTGGTGCGGCTAATATAGCGGTGTTTCTCATAATTCACCAATGACTATGTGCCTTGCTAAATACATAGATTTTCAGATCCCTCTCTGGGAGACGCTGATTCATTAGGTGTCCCGACCTGCAGGACAACAACAGGAGCTCGAAGGGAGGGAGTGGGGATGGATGGGAACAGGAGGCGGGAAGAATGGAGACAAGACAAGAGTCTGATCAAGTCTCGTTTATTGTTGCTAAGCTCACAGCTTAAATAAGCGCAGGCAGAGAGGCAGGACAAAGGAAGCTTGCAGTTGGGAAATTCCTGCCTACATAAGTTTCAGGAAACTGAAACTTATCAGCAGGAAACATTAAACTGAAACTTATCGGCAGGAAACATTAAACTGAAACTTACACAAACCACAACATGGCTGAGCAGATCACAAAATGGCGGCTGTTGCTGCCCACAAGTAGGTGCAGGATAGGAAGTGGGTGTGCACATCTTCACAAGTACCAGAGGAATTGTGATCACTAAGAAGTTTGAGGTTCATGATATTAGAGGATAAAGAGTTGGGGGCGGGTGTACACCTGGAAAGAGAGACAGGATTAGAAGAGCCATACATAGAATGCATCATGGAAAAGAAGCAGGGACTTTGTTCTAAATGTCAACAATGAAATTCCTGAGACATTAAAAAAAAAGAAGAAGAAGAAAGGGAAGAAAGGAGAAAGAGATACGTGTAAGGCAGAAGGGGGATGGATGCCACAAACCACCATGGCATGTTTGTACCTGTGTAACAAACCTGCAGGATCCGCACATGTACCCCAGAACTTACAGTATAACATTTAAAAAGGAAAAAAGAAAAACGCCTTTAAATTTAAAAAATTCTAAAAAAACAAATTCCCAATTAAACTTGGCAAATTTCTCCAGTGTTATTTTATACTCAACATAAGTTGATGTTTTTAAGGATGAAGCTTTCAGTAGCTTCGCCATAGACAGTCTATGGAGTTCACATTTGTAACAAGCAGTGATTTTGCAGGTAAGGGTCCTCTTCCCTCACCTACACATAGATGATTTTACCTTTTCAAGAGGACAATGTTGCAAGTTTGTTGATGCAGACAAATAAACCCAGTTAGCACAAAACTGGCCTGTGCAAGTATATTAGTCACTTCTTCCAAGAAAAAATAAATAAATGACGTCCCACTGCATAATAAATGAATCTAAAGGAAGTGAAGGAAGCTTCATTTAAAGTCAAGAAAGAGCACAGATACTTGACAATATTTAATAGCTGAGAGAAATGACTGAACTCAGCACAAAGCCTAGTGCCTCTCAATCACTCCAGAGTTTGCAAGTTTTGTTTCATTCCTTTATGACAGGTGCAGTTTAATACAGTGTATTTACTTTTAGAGTTCCCCGTTGACTTTGTTTCTAAATAATTCTCTCCAAACTCCGTATTTTTTTTTTAGACTCCACAGAATTACCACTTATCCCAGAAGTTAAAGAGAAAGTGCAAGTTAAAGAGAACATCTGTTTGTCCAAGCTATTACTAGGGGTTAGGTGTTTTGGATTCAGCCACACAGAAATGCAGGTCTATGTTCTGTGTTTCCTCATTTTTTTCTGTTCCAGTGTTTGTCTTCAAACGAATGCAGAAGCCCTTTTTGTCTTTCTGCATAGAACCTGCAGAATGAACTCCTAAATGTTTTCTCCTCATGGAAAATATAACTTTTAAAAACAAATAGTGTGAACACAAGAAAAAATTATTATTCACACTGCTACTACTTGCAATTCAACACTGTAATAGCTAATTTTACGTCGGTTTTACTAAGCTAAGGAATGCCAAGATAACATACCAAATACAGTTTCTGGGCGTGCCCATGAGGGTATTTTCAAAAGAGATTAATATTTCAATCAGTAGACTGATTAAATTTAAAAAATAAAGTATAAAAGCATGTGTAGTCCCTTGCTTTTTCTAAATCAATAATGCTCATTATAAAAAGTTTATTTAAAAAATTAAAATATAAAATTTGAAAACACCTCAAAATTCAACCAGAAATAGCATAATTAACGGTGTAAACAGCATTTCAAGCATCTTCCTATTAACCGACATGGATAGATGGTTGAATGGGTTAATGGTTGATGATTGGAA